ACCTCACCTACCTCACCTACCTCACCTACCTCACCTACCTCACCTACCTCACCTACCTCACCTACCTGACCTACCTCACCTACCTCACCTACCTCACCTACCTCACCTACCTCACCTACCTCACCTACCTCACCTACCTCACCTACCTCACCACCTACCTCACCTATACCTCACCTACCGCACTCACTCACTCACTCACCCACTCACTTCACTTCACTTCACTTCACTTCACTTCACTTCACTTCACTTCACTTCACTTCACTTCACTTCACTCACTTCACTCACTCTCACATCCCTCACTCACACACACCACACTCACATCACTCACTCACACTCTCACTCACTCACTGTACATGAACATACATACATACACACAAACTCACCCACCATCACCACTCCATCACTCTTATACTTCCTCTTCCCTTCTTGCTTTTCCATGGTCAGTCTAAGTCTAAAGAAGTTGGTAACATGTGGGGTTATCCGGTCCTTTAATTTTTATATACATATATATATATAATTTATATATACATATATATTTATATTTGCATATATTTATATATACATACATATTTACATATATTTAGATTTACATGTATATACAGTATACATGTACATATATACATACATATATATATATAACCACACCCCCATCACACCACTACTATTGCTGACCCATGACCATGGGGGAGGGGGGTTGGAACGCTGGACCATATATACACACATAGACTCATACTCACACACACACATATATATATATAGATTTATGTACACATACATTTACATATATATATATATACATATAAGCATATATATATATATATACATAAGCATATACTGTATATATATATGTATATATAGACATATATAAGCATATATATATATATATATATATATAGACATTTATAAGCATATATATATATATGTATGTATACACACACATACATATTTACACATATATGTATGTATATATATATATGTATATATATATATTTGTTTATTTATTTATTGTTCCTATATATATATATACACGCAGTACCACACCCCCACCACACGACAGGGGGGGAGGGGGGCAGTACCACAGCCTCACCACACCACAGGAGGGGAGGGGGACAGTACAATGGCTGACCCATGACCATGGCGGGAGGGACTTCTAACTACTGCTAACTACTGCGTATTACTGACTAGTACTGACTACTACCAAGTGCGTCAAAACTACTACAAACTACTACGAACAAGTACAAAGCACTTCTCAATAGTACCAACTACTACTATCTACTACTCACTACTACTAACTACTACTATCTACTACTAGCTACTACTATCTACTACTAACTGCTACTGGCTACGACGAAGTACTACTAACTACTCCTCACGACGACTAACCACTACCATTACGACTAACTAGTGCTGACTACTACGAACTACTACTAACTAGGATTCAGTACTACCAATTACTACAAACTACTACTCACTACTACTAACTACTACTAACCCCCCCACCCCCCTACCCACCCACAGGGGGGGGTGGGGAACAGAGCTCCTGTATATCCATACCCATTCCTGCTACTAACTACTACTCACTACGACTAACTACTACTACTACTACTACTAATACTACTACTACTACTACTACTACTACTACTACTACTACTACTACTACTACTACTACTACTACTACCCCCCTCCCACCCACCCACAGGGGGGGGCGGGGAACATAGCTCCTGTATATCCATGCCCATTCCTACTACTAACTGCTACGCACTACGAGTAACTACTACTACTACTACTACTACTACCACCTACTACTACTACTACTACCACCTACTACTACTACTACTACTACTACTACTCCTACTAATTACTTACTAATTACTTACTACTACTACTACTACTACTACTACTACCACCTACTACTACTACTACCACCTACTACTACTACTACTACTACTACTACTCCTACTAATTACTTACTAATTACTTACTACTACTACTACTACTACTACTACTACTACTAGTACTACTACTACTACTTCTACTACTACTACTACTACAACTACTACTCCTCCTACTAACTACTTACTACTACTCCTGCTACTACTACTACTACTACTACTACTACTTTTACTACTTTTACTACTTTTACTACTTTTACTACTTTTACTACTTTTACTACTTTTACTACTTTTACTACTTTTACTACTTTTACTACTTTTACTACTTTTACTACTTTTACTACTGTTACTACTTTTACTACTGTTACTACTTTTACTACTTTTACTACTTTTACTACTTTTACTACTTTTACTACTTTTACTACTTTTACTACTTTTACTACTTTTACTACTTTTACTACTTTTACTACTTTTACTACTTTTACTACTTTTACTACTTTTACTACTTTTACTACTGTTACTACTTTTACTACTACTACTCCCTACTCACGACTACTAACTACTACTACGACCAACCACCTGACTACTACTACTGGACTAATAACTACTACTACTACTATTACTTACTACTACTGCGGCTATACTACTACTGGCGTCGCTGCTGCTTCTTCGCACCTACCACACCTACCACCACTCTACCATCACCGCCATCCCACCATACCCCCGCCCCACCACCACCCCCCCCCCACCGTCACCACCACCGACCCTACGACTCCCCCCCCCGTCTCGACCCCCCCCGCCCCCCCCGGAGCCGCCCCACCCCTAGCCCCGCTCCTTTTTTCTTTTCCCTTCTCCTGTATACCCATACATTGGGGGGGACCAGGGAGGGCTGCATCATATATATGCATACATGCATACCACCATGCATGTTCAAAACTACAAAAGAAATAGAGGTGTTCTATCTCCAGCTCGCCAGGTTCACATATCCAGACCCCAGCTTCTTCGAGTCACTTTACCAGGGCAAGATCTTCAGTGCGCAGGTGCTGGAGGCGATGAACACCGATTTCCAGCGCGTCGAAAGGACCCCTTTATTGACCCGGGGCCATGAAAAAGACATGGCCTTGAAGCAAGACACATTTGTTGGTAATTCCTAGTTGATGATATGAAATCTAGTTGGTGATTCTAGTTGTGATTCATCATATCAAGACACATTGAAATGCTAGGTACATTGTTGGTGATTCTAGTTGATATGATGTTAGCGAAGGTTGTGTGTAAACAAAATGTACCTATTATTTAGGGAACATATGTGATTACTTTGTCAACCTTGGTTAGATACTTTAGTACTTTAATCTAAATTGTTATCAATGGTAACATGTACATGTACCAGTAAACACTTCGATTGTTTGAGAGATATCTAAGATTCACCATGATTGATGGGGTACTTAGGTCCATTTTACAACTGGAGGACCTTGTGGTGATCTAGCTGGCTGGTCAGAAATGAGTTGTGCTAACTTTGCGAAACCAGTCAAAATAGGTGATCTAACATGATGAAAAACCGCCACAGATATAGGAAATTACTTGATGACTATGCAGATGTAAAAATTGAACGGTTGATTGGAAAATTTACAGCATACCTTTCTTTAAACCATGAACATAAAAGATCACTGGTTGGTGGTTTCAAACATCTTTCATTTTCCATAATATATGGGATAATCCTTCCCAACTGACTAACATTTTTCAGAGGGGTTCAAACCACCAACCAAATATATCTAAATTGGAGGTACCTACCATATATAAGGCCGAGTTTTTAGGCCTTAATTAATTTCAGGGAATATCCCATGAAATTCCCATTGACAATTGAGATCATATCTAATGGTTCCATGGCATTTCTCCGAGAATCTCAGGGGCCATTGCTCCCGGCAACGGGTGGCCCCATGCTGGGTCAACCAACCATCACGACCGAACCCTGCCCTCCCGAAGCCTGGAAAAAAATGTGTTTAAAGGGGAACCATCCCAAAATGGCACATTTCAGGCTGGTGAATTCTTAAAATTTGCCCAGGTATACCTTCCCAATGGTACTTTTCATAGGTACAATCATGATTAGGTGGATTTAGAGGTACCATATTTTTAGACCCATTTTGTACGGTAAACAGTGAAAAAAGAGATTTATATATATATATATAGATTTATGGTGTGTATATATATAATTATATATATATATATATTCCACAAACCTTAACGCATGTGGGCTTAGTTTGAGCACATGGGATTCGAATCCCGATTTGTTTGCACAGAATTTGATTTGTTGCGTGAGACCTGTGTAATCAACATTATTATTATTATATATATATATACATATATATATATATATATACATATATATACATATATATATACATATATATATATATACATATATATATATATATATGTATTTATAATAAACAAGATATGTATATATATATATATCTATATAATATGTATGTATATATATAATCATATTTGCATAGTATGTATGATATGTAAGCAAAAATCACATTGTATTATATATATATAGGCTCTTGGCCTGACAGAGTTGGGAGTATTGGGTGTGTTTGGCGATCATGGTGAGTCATCTCAGTTTAAGCAGAGAGGCCACCACTTCTCAGGCTTAGGCCCCTGAGGTTTACGGCGGCGGACACCAGATCACTGGCCACCTCAGGAATCTAAATTGAAGGTACCTACCATATATAATAAGGCATAAGGCCTAAATTTCAGGGAATATCCCAACTTAAAATCTGGCCAGAAATATGGTACTAACGTACAGTACGTACCTCCATTTTTGCATTGGATCCTGAAATTCCCAGCCAGACGGTCAGGACCTACAGGACCATTTTCAACGTATTGGCCCTGAAGTTTACTGCGCATGGCCATTGGGATGAACATGAAATTGAGTGGGGTCCTGTCTGAGAGATGATGAAAAACTCACCATGAAAAAAGGTGGGGCAAAACCTTCCCCAAACGAATAGCTGGTTAATGGATGGTTACTATGGTTACTCCCCAAATATGACAATAGATGGTAATAGTAGGTTTTGACCCATCCCCAAATTGGGATTTGGCCATCATATATAATGGAGGTGAATTTGCGTAAAAATGATCGACAACGGGGAAATGATTACCACGTTATCGCCTTGGATTTTGGAGTATGTGCAGCACATGTCTCTGCTGGCTAAGTGGGAATCTTGAAATGAGATATGTTTTTTTCGCTGGTATCCTCTAGTCAAGCCAACTAACATAACTATGGAAAATCACCATTTGGAATGGGTAAATCCACTATAAATGGCCATTTTCAATAGCTATGTTTGTTTACCAGAGGGTAACAACTTGGGTTGTCCCAAACACGATGCTGGATATGACGGACAATACGGGGCTGATCCTTTTGGTCGTGGCATCTCTGGTTGGTAAAAACAACCCAAGATTGCGGAAAAAAAATCATGGGTAGCCGACCGGTACATGATGAAGACTCTATGGGAAAAGGAAGGGTTCTTTGTTTGAAGGAAGCCTACACAAGGATGGGTGTTATGATGGGTGAGGAGATAAATGATCCAAGATGATCGGGTGAGTTTTTCAGATCTTACAGCTTCGAGTTGTATTGGGTTCATTGGTTCATGGTTTTTCGTGACAATCATGTGGTAATCCTCCAGTGTCCGTTGGTATCCTGATGTGGTAATTTCATCCCGGGGGCCCGGTGTGTTTGAGACCTCTGAGTGTCTCTTAGTAGCTGAATATCATCCCTTGCTTTGATGTTTTTGGCGAAGGAGAAGGAAGCCTGTCCTTTTTGTTGGATATGCTGGTCACTTGTTTTTGACCCAGTTCAGTGGATAGCCTATGGATTATAGCCTCTGATCAACTAGCATAGCTATCCAAAAACATCATCTCCGTAGGTAGATTGGCTATAAATGGGCCATGGATTCCATAGTTTCTTGATGCTTTTTGTATGTGTCCCAGAGGGTATCAAATTCTGTGAGCCCAGGGGAGCTGTGCCATGGCGCCATGGTCCAAAAGAAATGGGTAAACTGCTAGGAGAGACCATGGGTGAGTCCATGAAAATAGAGATGCATAACGATTTGTTATATGTATACACATATCAAATATGGTGAATCCTAATCAATCAGATCATGATTCAATGATCTTGTTTTCATGAGCTGAATACCATACTCTACTCAATGCCCCAATGAGGTAAACCAGTAATTAATAAACCTACCATATGGGGATGGTTTATACCACCCATCTATGGCAATATTGAGGATGGTTTATGACATTGGGCTTAGTAACGTTTAGTATGGTTTGGTAAAGTATTTATTTGGAGATGGTTTATTTAGTAATGGCTGATGATTTTACTATCGGGAATGGTTTATCAATACCACATCCTCTACACCCATATTTGTTGGTTTGGATTCACCAAATGAATCCTATAGTAATCAGTATCACCATAGCGAAATTGGAATTATGTTCGTCAACTTATATATAGCTATCATAATTCAGCTTTATTTCCCATGAAAGCCCAATGTTCTTCGTTAAACCAGCATTTTTCCTATGTGTTTTTCCCATGTCACCTCCATTTATAGAGTATTTTCCCACATGTGCCCACATTCCCATATGCCCCATGTATGGAATAGTTTCCAACATTTACCCTAAAAATCACCCAGTTTTGTAGGTAAATATACCATACATGGAGCAACATTTTCCCATGATTTGTTGCCATCATTGACGGAGACAGGCTCGGCGCACATTTTGTCCACCGAAATCCTGGTCCTGAAGGGTCGGCTGATACCACTACTGTTGGAGTCGCCCGAGACACTTGGCGCCACACGGGGCCACTGTGAGAAAATGTGAGAAAAAAACATAGGATTTGACGAGAAAATCTAGAGGAAACCATTTTTTTTCTTCGGGAAAATCTAGAGGAAGGATGTTTTTTTCTTCGGGAAAACCTGGAGGAAACCATGCTTTTTCTTCGGGAAAACCTGGAGGAAACGATGTTTTTTCTTCGGGAAAATCTAGAGGAAACCATGGTTTTTTCTTCGGGAAAACCTGGAGGAAACCATGTTATTTTCTTCGGGAAAATCTGGAGGAAACCATGTTTTTTTCTTTGGGAAAATTTAGAGGAAACCGTGTTTTTTTCTCCGGGAAAATCTAGAGGAAACCATGTTTTTTTTCTCCGGGAAAATCTGGAGGAAACCATGTTTTTTTTGTTCGGGAAAATCTGGAGCAAACCATTTTTTTTCTTCGGGGAAATCTGGAGGAAACCATGTTTTTTTTCTCCGGGAAAATCTAGAGGAAACCATTTTTTTTCTTCGGGAAAACCTGGAGGAAACCATGTTTTTTCTTCGGGAAAATCTGGAGGAAACCATGTTTTTTTCTTTGGGAAAATTTAGAGGAAACCGTGTTTTTTTCTCCGGGAAAATCTAGAGGAAACCATGTTTTTTTTCTCCGGGAAAATCTGGAGGAAACCATGTTTTTTTCTTCGGGGAAATCTGGAGGAAACAAGTTTTTTCTTCGGGAAAATCTGGAGGAAACCATATTTTTTTCTTCGGGAAAATCTGGAGGAAACCATGTTTTTCTCTTCGGGGAAATCTGGAGGAAACCATGGTTTTTTCTTCGGGAAAACCTGGAGGAAACCATGTTATTTTCTTCGGGAAAATCTGGAGCAAACCATTTTTTTTTCTTCGGGGAAATCTGGAGGAAACCATGTTTTTTTCTTCGGGAAAATCTGGAGGAAACCATGTTTTTTTGTCCGGGAAAATCTGGAGGAAACCATGTTTTTTTCTTCGGTAAAATCTAGAGGAAACCATGTTTTTTTCTCCGGGAAAACCTGGAGGAAACCATGTTTTTTTTTTACCATGTCTTTTTCTCCGGGATAATCTGCTAAGACCACAAAATGAAGATATTTTCACTTTAGGCACTTAATGAAGATATTATATAGTAGTTATATGAACTTATCATAGAAGTGTTTTTTCTTTATTTTTACTTATTTTCACTTATTTTTCAATGTTTTTTTGATGATCAGAATTGATTATAGACGATGCATTTTTCTGTTATATATTTTTTGAAAATAGTTGTCGACCTTTTTGTTTCCTTTGGAATATTTTTTTCTTGCCTTTTTTCATTGTTTTTTTTCATTCTTTTCAGGCATCATCCTTTTAGAAATCACCCTTTTCAGGATTTATCCTTTTCAGGAATTATCCTTTTCAGGACTTATCCTTTCAGGATTTTTTTATTCAGAATGAATCCTTTTCAGGAACTATCCTTAACAGGAATCTTTCTATTCAGATTGATTTCATTTTCAGGAACAATGCTTTTCAGGAGTTATCTTCTACAGGAAATGGTTCTTCTACAGGAATATGCGCGGCTGCGAGTGACACAAAGAATCTTGAAGTACATCTGTGGAGAAATCATTCAGAGGCAAAAGGAAAAACATATAAAGGATGCTTCTTGGAAAGAACAATTGCTCTTTTGATGTGTCTTCTTCAATTGTATACGACTGCCCAGAATGAGATCTTTCACAACATGAGGCTTCGGTTACTACTTCCAAACTACATAATTCAGGGATGAAGATGGATACCTAATTTGGAAAATATTCTATTATATTTTTTGTTGGTAAAAGATTTAAAGCTAGCTGGCTTGCTTTTTGTTTTGAAAATGTATTTTCTATAATTGCTATTTATGTTTTATTGTTCATATTGTTCTACAATTTACTTTCTTTTGATTTCGCATACTTTGTTCATACGGTTTTTTTGCTGAGATTTTGGTGGTTGATTAATCGCAGGGAATTATTAATCCTAACTTGACATTATTATAAATACTTACTCATCCTTTTTTTTCTCTATAAATATTTCCTGAATTTTCTGAAATTTCTGAATTTTCTGAAATGTCTAGATTTTCTGAATTTTCTGAATTTTCTGAATTTTCTGAATTTTCTGAATTTTCTGAATTTTCTGAAATTTCTGAATTTTCTGAATTTTCTGAATTTTCTGAATTTTCTGAATTTTCTGAAATTTCTGAATTTTCTGAATTTTCTGAATTTTCTGAATTTTCTGAATTTCTGAATTTTCTGAATTTTCTGAATTTTCTGAATTTTCTGGGTTTCTGAATTTTCTGAATTTTCTGAATTGTTTTCCTTTTAATTTAAATTGTAAATTCTGAATTTTCTGAATTTTCTGAATTTTCTGGGTTTCTGAATTTTCTGAATTTTCTGACTTTTCTGAATTTTCTGAATTTTCTGATTTTCTGGGTTTCTGAATTTTCTGAATTTTCTGAAATTTTTGAATTTTCTGAATTTTCTGAATTTTCTGAAATTTCTGAATTTTCTGAATTTTCTGAATTTTCGGAAATTCTGAAATTTCTGATTTTCTGAATTTTCTGTTTTTTTCTGAATTTTCTGAATTTTCGGAAATGTCTGAAATTTCTGAGTTTTCTGAATTTTCTGTTTTTTTCTGAATTTTCTGAATTTTCTAAATTTTCCTTTCCAGGAAGTATCCTGCAGAGAACTATTCCCTACAATTTTTTTCCTTTCCAGGAAGTATCCTGCAGAGAACTATTCCCTACAAAATTTTTCCTTTCCAGGAAGTATCCTGCAGAGAACTATTCCCTACAAAAGTTTTCCTTTCCAGGAAGTATCCTGCAGAGAACTATTCCCTACAATTTTTTTCCTTTCCAGGAAGTATCCTGCAGAGAACTATTCCCTACAAATGTTTTCCTTTCCAGGAAGTATCCTGCAGAGAACTATTCCCTACAATTTTTTTCCTTTCCAGGAAGTATCCTGCAGAGAACTATTCCCTACAAATGTTTGCCTTTCCAGGAAGTATCCTGCAGAGAACTATTCCCTACAATTTTTTTCCTTTCCAGGAAGTATCCTGCAGAGAACTATTCCCTACAAATTTTCCTTTCCAGGAAGTATCCTGCAGAGAACTATTCCCTACAATTTTTTTCCTTTCCAGGAAGTATCCTGCAGAGAACTATTCCCTACAATTTTTTTCCTTTCCAGGAAGTATCCTGCAGAGAACTATTCCCTACATTTTTTTTCCTTTCCAGGAAGTATCCTGCAGAGAACTATTCCCTATTCCTTTCCAGGAAGTATCCTGCAGAGAACTATTTTTTTCCTTTCCAGGAAGTATCCTGCAGAGAACTATTCCCTACATTTTTTTTCCTTTCCAGGAAGTATCCTGCAGAGAACTATTCCCCACACAATTTTTCCTTTTCAGGAAGTATCCTGCAGAGAAATTGTCCCTACATTTTTTTTTCCTACCATTTTTTTTTCCAAATAGGCGCCTTCAGAGAATTGTTCTTTAGCAGCATATTCCTGTTCAGGAAGGTTTCGTCAGAAAAGTAGTGCTCTGAGACAATATTGTTTCGTCGAAAATCAACATTCCTGCGAATCTATCAAACACACATAAAAATCAAATTTCACTTCTTATCACTTCTTTTCGCTTATTTTGGCTTATTTTTGACTAATATTCTACTATATTTGCTTATATTTTCCTTATTATGTTATAAGTTCACCTAAAAATTTAGTGGAACTTATAACAAAATATTTTTGAAAAAACAATTTGAACAAGATATTAGAAGGATAATAGTAACTTATAGTATACTTATAAATTCATTAAGTGCCTAAAGTGCAAATATTTGCATTTTGTGGTCTCAGTGGAGGAAACCATGTTTTTTTTCGGGAAAACCTGGAAGAAACAATGTTTTTTTCTTCGGGAAAATCTGGAGGAAACCATGTTTTTTCTTCGGGAAAATCTAGAGGAAACCGTGTTTTTTTCTTCGGGAAAATCTGGAGGAAACCATGTTTTTCTCTTCGGGGAAATCTGGAGGAAACCATGTTTTTCTCTTCGGGGAAATCTTGAGGAAACCATGTTTTTTTTCTTCGGGAAAATCTGGAGGAAACCATGTTTTTTTCTTCGGGGAAATCTGGAGGAAACCATGTTTTTTTCTTCGGGAAAATCTGGAGGAAACCATGTTTTTTTCTTCGGGAAAATCTGGAGGAAACCATGTTTTTCTCTTCGGGGAAATCTGGAGGAAACCATGTTTTTTTTCTCCGGGAAAATGTATAGAGGAAACCATGTTTGCTTCTTCGGGAAAATCTAGAGGAAACCATCTCCGGGAAAATCTAGAGGAAACCAGTTTTTTTCGTCGGGAAAATCTGGAGGAAACCATGTTTTTTTCTCCGGGAAAATCTAGAGGAAACCATGTTTTTTTCTTCGGGAAAATCTAGAGGAAACCATGTGAACATCTCGAGGAAACCATGTTTTTTTCTTCGGGAAAATCTTGAGGAAACCATGTTTTTTTTCTTCGGGAAAATCTGGAGGAAACCATTTTTTTTTCTTCGGGGAAATCTGGAGGAAACCATGTTTTTTTCTTCGGGAAAATCTGGAGGAAACCATGTTTTTTTCTTCGGGAAAATCTGGAGGAAACCATGTTTTTCTCTTCGGGAAAACCTGGAGGAAACCATGTTTTTTTCTCCGGGAAAATGTATAGAGGAAAGCATGTTTTTTTCTTCGGGAAAATCTGGAGGAAACCATGCTTTCTCTTCGGGAAAACCTGGAGGAAACCATGTTTTTTTCTTCGGGAAAACCTGGAGGAAACCATGTTTTTTTCTTCGGGAAAATCTAGAGGAAACCGTGTTTTTTGCTTTGGGAAAATCTGGAGCAAACCATGTTTCTTCGGGAAAATCTAGAGGAAACCGTGTTTTTTGCTTTGGGAAAATCTGGAGGAAACCATGTTTTTTTTGTTCGGGAAAATCTGGAGGAAACCATGCTTTTTCTTCGGGAAAACCTGGAGGAAACCATGTTTTTTTTCTTCGGGAAAACCTGGAGGAAACCATGTTTTTTTCTTCGGGAAAATCTGGAGGAAATCAGTTTTTTTTCTCCGGGAAAATCTGGAGGAAACCATGTTTTTTCTTCGGGAAAATCTAGAGGAAACCGTGTTTTTTGCTTTGGGAAAATCTGGAGGAAACCATGTTTTTTTTGTTCGGGAAAATCTGGAGGAAACCTTGTTTTTTCCTTCGGGAAAATCTGGAGGAAACCATGTTTTTTTCTTCGGGGAAATCTAGAGGAAACCATGTTTTTTTTCGGGAAAATCTAAAGGAAACCATCAAATAGTAGTTTTCCTGTATGTTTTGTCCACTTTAACCAATCCAATAAGAAAATCACGACAGCTGAAGGGGAACTTCAGATTGTGTTCACTGGCATTGGTCACTTGGGTCGTGAACTGGAGAACTGGCATGGCCATTTAACGGGCAACAATTTCATGTATATATATATATATACACACGATATTATACAGCTAAACTATAAGAGTCTTGATTTTTCTGCGGGATATCTAAGGTCAGCGGTGTGTTGGAGTCTTAGTTGTTCTGGCTAGAGAAAATTTCTGCAAGATAAGGGAGTGTAAAATGCAGGAAAATGGATGATTTTGGTCAGTGCGGAAGGTAGTCTTTCTGAACGTGTTTCTAAATGTTTTTTTTTTACCTAGTTGACATTGAAAAATTGAAAACCAAACCTGTCATGTCAACGTCATAATGTTATTTTTCAAATCCCCATGTTTCCCAGGTAAAATCCTAAACTGGTGAACTCATTTCCAGGACAACTTCGTTGAAAGCTCTCATTCTTCTGATGTTCAGTTTCCAAGGGCATATTCCAACAAGCTAACCTTTCCGCTGCGCAATCGTCCGCCTGATTTAGGCTTGGGGATGGCCAGTCTAGAACATGCAGCCACTGGCAGTGTTTTCTTGCTTCCTAAAAACCATGATGTTCGCTTGGAAGTCGTTTTGCCAATTCCACAAGGAGCAAATGGGATGATTTTTTGGTTATGAGCCGGCCCCGGTGGCAAAAGGCCGAGGATTGTAGGCACTGAAGCCAAATGCTCCATGGTATGGTATATGTTCCTGTACTGTATACACTTGGGGCATTTTGTTGTGTAGATTTTACTTAGTAAATATACGATACACGCCCAACAGGGTGGGTTATTCAACGCCCCGGGGACAGATTTAGTTCTTATACCCCATTGACAAACTCCCCTTTTCTAATGGAATCATGATGGATCATGTGGGCAAAGAAGGTGGGCATGATTTGCTCCCACAGGGAATCTTGTTTTTTTAGATTCCAATTAATCAATAGCAGGGAAGAAGAGTAACTAGCTTAAGTGCATCCATCAATACATCTCCCTACACCTCCTCAGTCAATGCATTCCCCCTCATCGATATGTCCCCCATTTGATTACATTTGTTCTGCTCAGCATGCTCCAAAACATACTGTAACCCAAGAAGGCACAGCAAGATCCATAGGGCATACTCAGCCCCTCTGTGGCAACCCGTAGAAAAGGTGTACAAGGAAAACCCAATCGTAGACTATCCTAACATTGTGGACTTGTTTTTTCGGGGATTAACATTCCAAGAGCTCAGGCTGATTTCGTTCGGATTTGTTGCAAGACCAAGAATTGTTTACATCATAATCAATTATATATATACATTTATCTAAGGACAGACAAAGATATAGATCTATCATAAAAGCTCTTCTTCATTGTCCTTTCCCCTCTTTGTTCCCTTGAAAAACGCTAGGATCATTCGCATGGAGTCGGAGAAGCGTCTCCTGAAACTGCGTCAGATGTCCTTCGCCTCGCGCGACGGCTCCGAGCCGAACTCACGGCTTTCGAGGAAGAGCCGACCGATGAATCGCCGCACGGCGGCACCGGACAACGGCTGTTGGGGTCAGCGTTGAAGTCCTGGTGACGGCCATGATTTGTTTAAGGAATCTCGTAAGTATATTGAAGTATTTATATATATACATAAATATATATATATACATATTCAGAATAATATGTGTTTCTGTTTATGTTCATATATGTGGTAAACCAAGGACAAACTATAACTGTATATATCTGGTTGGTGGTTTCAAACATGTTTTATTTTCCATTTCATATATGGGATGTCATCCTTCCCATTGACTAACATTTTTCAGAGGGGTTCAAACCACCAAGCAGATATATCTACATCATCAAGACCTGAAGCATTTTATGCGAAACCCATGTTGCGAGATCCGTTGGGAACTTGGGAACAGTGATCAGGATGGAATCCTTTGAAAAACCCGGGGCCCGGGGGCAACAAAAAATGAATTGGTAATATGCTTGCATATATGGAGATAGTAATATGGGATATTATGGGATGATATATTTGGAAAAATATTTGGAAAAAAGTTGTATATAATGGGGTTATAATGAGCAATATGGGGAATACGGGTTTGTCGACCCTATCAATTGGGATGTTGACAATCACATTTTCAAACTTGAACTCAATAATTCAGAATGGGGATGTTAACAAAAATTAAGCATGGATGGGTATACAATATACATTTTAATGGATAAATATTGGCTAAGAAAATTGCAATGAATGGTGATAGGCAGTATCTAAGAGTCATGAATGGTGATATGGGATTAGCCATGAGATATGACAATCTGGGCTCTTTGGGTTTGGTAAACTAACAATTTGCTATGGAACATGACCATGTATTCTTGGTAAATCAACTATAACTGCTGGATTGTCAATAATTAACCATGTTAAACTACCAGAGGGTATATGGGTTTGTCAAATCCAAAACAGCATGAACTGTGATTCTTTGTCGTTTGTTTTTTCCCAGTAAGACGTTCACCATTTGGGGTATATAAGGATTTGTTTGTTGTTTGTTCCGTTTTTAGGGGGTGGCTCTTAAACAAATCATGGTTTTGGTGCGCTCAATTGTGGGCCCGGCAGGAGTTGCGGCAGTGACATCTTGGATGTGAATAGGATAGATCTTGCACTCTGTCTTCCACTTATTATACTATGGGGATGTGCCTGTACCTGGGCCCTCAAAATCAAATTTGTTGTGTGCTCCAACAGTTGGTACCTTGACTCATATTCCTGAAGAGGCATCTTCAAGTTCAAGGTATATTGCATATACATATTCTATCATGTTCTCTTAGCCACTGATCCTTTTAAACTTAAATGCATGGAAAATCCAAGACTTCGTCACTATATATTGAAAATTGATCAAAATCTTCATATCTTCCAATACATGAGCTGACCAGGCTGATCCATTCTTTTTGTTTGTAGAGCTGCGGCCTCCAAGAAAGACCATCCTAGCCAAGCAGGTCACTTATAACGACCCAAGCTACGACCTCAACATAGATGGGGATGGGTCAAGACCTATACCCAGCTATTTTGGGGTACCTAGGCACCAGGGTCTTGACCCACAACCAGATGGTGAGTTTGGGGACAATCATCCCCAATTGGCCGAACCAATTGGACAAGGTAAAACACGTCCCTCGTGGTGCCCAGGTTCCACCAGCAATTGCTTCACCGACCCCAACGCTTCGTACGCCGTGGAGTCCATGCGCAGCAGTGCCATGTTGCCGCCGCCGCGGCGGATTCCAAGTGACGGAAGCGCCGCAGAGCGTGCGGCCCGTGCCACCATCCAGTTTCGGATCGACGCGCCGGAGCACAGTAGAGGTGAGACCTTGGGATGACTTTTTTGGGTGAGGATCTTGGAGGTTTGGGGTTTTACCGTTTTTTGCATTTTTGAGACTTGGGTTTTGGATGGCACTTATTTTGGATGGTGGTATTTAGGTGATTATATGTTAGCAAAGATGATTTTGGATGTTTTGCAGATGGTTTGTACAAAGTGGTGAACTACCGCTGGTGGTTGATATATCATGATATATCGAAGTGGTTGATGGCGTGAAACTAAACCAACAAAAATAAGGCTTGAGGCACTGCATTGTGTTTGTTAAGGGGAAAAGTGTTGTGGCAAATGATATGTATGGTGGAAGTTAATAAGTTTGGAGAAAAATAAAGCATATCCAGGTTGCACGTGGATAATAAGTCTGCATACCTGAAGTTCGGAGATGAAATTTATGTGGCATTTTCATGCATGTTCCATGTCTTCAAATGTCATGACGATCCAGATCGATTGTTCTCTTTGAAAATGTTGACGCCTTTAACCATGATGCTGAAAGGATTTATAGCGGCCCACACCCAGCCACAGCCCAGTTGTGGATCAATAGTTGGAAGTAGTATTTGTTTAAATTAGAAGGGGATTTGGGATGATCCTTTGAAAGGAGGGATATCGCACAGTGACTAGAGACCGAACTCTGGCCGACCAAGCCCCGTAAATGAAGAGGGGATTACCCAAACAAGCATCTTTATTGCCAAGAACGCTGATGGTTGACCAGGAAATGACTTTCTTCGAGTGATCCCCACCCTGAGACAGCCTGAAACACTATTCTGACAGTTTCTGACATAGCATCTCGAAGATTCTAGAAGTATATATATATATACCTAGATCTTCCTGGATACCTTTTTTTCAGCCCGAGGCTGAAAAGGCTGAAATTTCTGCCCGAGCCGGATTTCTCGCCCGAGGCTGTTTTTTCAGCCCGAGACCATATATAGCAGATTATAAGAATATTGGTTATAAATGGTTATAAATAGTATAACACATGCATGAAGATAGGCTATGTAAAAGCATCCTGTAAGAACAATTCTTTGCAGAATCAGTGCCAACTTAGGTGAACAATATTGGTTTCAAACAAGAAGTAAAATGAAGTAAACGTATGATCACTACACCAACACATGTTACAAATCAACACCATACCTTCCACTATCACCATGCCCAAGTTCCTTTTGCGCCTTTGGCAAGCTGCGGAGAGCAAATCCCAGCCGAGACAAGGCCGGCCCAGAGCTGGACAAGGGGATTGGTACAAAAAAATGTTTCTTTTTGACTTTTGGGATGTTGACAGCTTCAGTAGAAGGTGCTTATGTATTGTTTCATATTAATATTATATCATATTGTTTAAGATCTCCCCTATTATGTTCTCTTAGGCTTCGGCCTGTTGAACTTAGACCAAACATGACAACCATTCTGGGCTTTCCTAGCCATCCGTCTCCGAAGTAAAACTTTGACCTTGATGAAGTAACGGTGGATTACCCTGAGGTCACAAAGGCGAAATCCAACCCGCCGGCTCAGACGGGATATCCTCCCAAGGAAATCTTCGTTCATATCGCATGCGAAACATTGTGGGCTCAAAATCAATGAGCAGCCTTTCTCCAACTCTTTTTTAATAAAAACAGCAATGTGATGAAGAGCATGGTGCTTCGGTTTTTGGATAAATGCTCGAATGTGAATCTTCAGCGACTCATTCCCAAGAAAAGCGTATCCACGAAGGAGAGTCATTGTATGCACATAAAACATTTTTGCACAGTTTCGTGAAAGCCAGAGCTTGTGGTGATGTAGCATCCCCAATTTTAAAGCCGCCTCAGTCACTTGCAACATGCGTTTCAATAAGTTGTCATGTCCAGGCACAATGGGATTTTCCAAGTTGAGTTTCAAAGTGTGAGATAGCCACCGTAGAAGCAACACACTGTCCGAAGCCTTGCACGAGGCCCATGGTGCTGAGATCAACGTTTTCATGTTGAAGAACTGCTTGGTGAATGACCGCAATCCAGGCGACTTGCCCTTGCTGGCACACCACAGGGCGAAGTAAGAAAAGGCTCTTTTAAATCTGTCATCGATGTTAATGGAGCTTCCTGGATAGTCAAAGAACTTCAGCCTCATCAAAAAGATCAATATTCCGCCTATCAAATCCCTTGCAGCACCCAATCTGTGTATGTGGAACAGGTCAGGCTGCAGCATTTGCTCACTGCAAGTGTCATCGTACGGAACCCCAGAAAGCGCTGGTGGGTTGTCAGTCGACCATGGCCTTTGTAAATTCAACGTTTGTAGCCAACCCGGAGACTCAGCATAGTCTTCAAAATCAACATTTGGACCACCAGCAAGGCACAAGTGGCAACATTCTAAAGCAGACTTGGTCCCCACGTTTGAGTAGCTCCGCTCTAGTTCCATGATTTTCTTGTGAAAATCCATGTCTCCTTTGATGCCAACAATTGCAGCATAAATAGTCCCACACGAGGTATTCACCCCAGAATAGAACAGTTTCTCCAAGCTTTTGACTGTTTCAGCCACCAACTCATCCACAACGTGAGGGTGTTTTTTGTACACCCAACCACCCAAGCCAAAAAGAAGAAAATGAGATAAATACGAATGGCCTTTGAAATTGGTCACTTGGTTCCGGCAAATCCCAATGGTTTCTGCATCCAGCGTTCCCAAATCTTGCCCATAAGATGGTATACCAACACGTTTTCCCATCTCTTCACGACAGTTGCATGTCCTTGTAGTGGGGTCATCCAAAGAACCAAGGGGCGACTCCATGGAAAGGACCAAATAGTTTGTCCTTTTCACAGCTCTGCCTTCATCACCATGAAGTATTATCGGAACAACGTCCCTCAACCTGCCCTCATGTTCAGTGAACACCTTGTGGGACGGATGGTGCACCTGATAGGCATGCCAGAAGGCAGAGAAATTTTCACGTCGATTACCATTCCAACCAGCTAGAAGTTCCGGGCAATCATTCGCCCAGTGTTGTATCCAGCTTTCCGGTTTTATATGGTAACTCGTGATTGGTTTGGGCAAATCACTGTGATGATTCATGGTATGAACTTCTACTGGGATCGTATACCCCATTTTTTCCATGCACGCATGCATGTCCCTTGAAGCATTGGTTTCAACTGGCTCCCTGTCTCGCAAGGCATTCCACGTCTTGGAAACGCTCACTGCAGTTGCCTCAAGCAGGCAGGCGAATGAGGGCAGAGCATGAAGGGGCAGGGAAAGTTGAGACCCGGACGCCATCACCCATTAGATCTGCAATGGATTCCGTAAAGCGGTCAGGAGGTGCTTCTGGTCCAGGGTCATTTTCCCTGGCATGAATACCCAAAGCGAACGGTAGAATGATGTATAATAGTTTACTTACATACAGTCATTCAACATCTTTTCTACTGGACACTTTGAGAAGAATGCAGATTCTTTTTCATCTCCAACTGGCTGCAAAAGCAGCTTCGTTGCACTCAGCCTCCATCCTGCTCTACGCAGGGCACCGGGAAACTCTAAGTTTTTATTGAGTTGGGAAAGCCAACTGACAGCTACTGTAAGACTGCCAAGGCCAGTCATGTGTGAGGATACCCCACCCCACAGTTTCAACTGTGCCTGTCAGGCAGCTAAGGAATGTCAGCGAGGGGCGTTCAATGTCAACATGACATGAAACATTAAATTTGTTGACATCAAGTATTTATCATCCATATCAACGAGAGCCGAAACAATAACAAAAACAATATATAAGGTCATGATCCAACAGTATTTGTGGGTTTCTTTTTGGGACCGCTCCCAGCCAATCTAAATTTGTCACCATTTTGTTATCTAGTTATCTGAGCAGGCAGTGGCTTTTGCCTTTGCCTTCACCTTTGCCTTTGCCTTACTGGCAGCCTTTTTGGCCACTGCTTGGCCAGGTGCTTTGCGCGTGGGCTTTTTCTCCTTCTGCTCAACAGCGGGGAGCCTTGACCTGGGGCAAGGCAAACATGGTTTCACATGACCCCAGACTCTGGGACACACCAGGTGTTGGATACAAGATGGTTCAAGTAATTGAAGCAAGACTTGGTTTCGAACTTGGCAAAGTGAACCAGGGCCATCGACTCTGACAACCTCAAATAACGGATTTGTCAAGTAGGAATTTCCAGTTCCCTGTCCTGATAAGTAGAAGGTCAACCAAAATATTTGAAAGGCCCAGGCTTCTTTCTGGCAGCATCCAACTCGTTGGAAATCTTTTTCTGCAGCCTGTAGTGGCCAATTTTGGCAAGGCATAAGCACATCTAAGCAGATTCATTAGGATGGAGCCAAGGTAAACATCACATGTGCCACATATTGGAAGGGCTAAATCCCAGCAGTATTTGGATACGGTTGGTAATCTTAATACCTTCCAGTCCTGGACAGCACTAGGACATGTCAATCTTAACCGGTGGTACCATGTAAGGCACATGGCTGTCAGGTTCAAAATACGGTTGCTAAGCCACCAGCTGCATTTGCTTTTTTTTTTTTTGCAAAATTATGGTTTGGTACTTCTAAAAGTATTAAGTAGGACCCAGCTAGATACCATAGCATTATCGCCCTTTTGGCCAATTTCTTCAGAAGGGTTCCCACTTTCCCCGGTGTCTATTCCAAAAAAGATTAGGGGCATGGCCATTCCACCCAAGTAAGCAAGTTGGGAACCTAAAGGCATATGTGTCAAGGGGCTCGCGGGTGTAGCCACCTTCAAGAATTCCTTCCCCGTGCTGGTCCATCAACTGCTCATCGTGACTAACCAGTGCCTGAATGGAAGTGTCCAGCTTGTCCTTCATCCTGGGATCAGAGCCAGTAGAAAATAGTAGGAAGCACTATTGTTGCTTGTTCCAAAGACAATGAAGGGATAAATACATTGTACTCCAATTGTGATTTCAAGTGAGTTCCCAAGTTCTGTTGCTAAACAAGGTGATCACATCAAATCTTCCATAGGGCCTACGGATGAAACCATAAACTGGTTTTACCATATTTACCATGTTTTACCCTGTAACTATATAATTCACATCATTCCTAGAAGCCATTGAGCCCTTCAATGTTGTTCAGTCTGACTTGATTTTTTGGGTTCAGCAAATTTCGATCTATTTGATGACAGGTTTCCGTTGTTGTAAAGGAGAAAGGCGATCTGCCGACTTGCATGCATTCACCATGGCTTCCAGTTTGGCAACCTGCTTTTGCAAACTCTGACATGCCTTAGGGACTAATGCCGAAGGGGCCGTGTCACCCTCCAATTCGGGCCACTGCAGCCTCTCCATCTCCTTCTTGATGTCCGCCGACTCAACCGGCACAGGTGCAGTGTCCTCATCTTGCATGTGCTGATCCATCACCAGACCTGCCGAAGGAGACCACTGGGATGGGAGGGTTTCAGAATTGGTGGAAGCCACTTGATTTTTACACAGCTACGCAAGTTTACAGGAGCAACAACAATAATAGCCTGGTGTTTGATCCTTCTGGACATCCATGAACCCCCAATCCAAGTCAGGTGCATCGATTTCAGCATCACTGGCATCCTCCTCCCACTCCAGACATTCCCGCTGGATGTGGCGCTTGGTTTTCCTTAGTATACAGAAGTTTCTCAGTATAAACCCAGCAAACCGAATTGTATCCTTGTTTGTTGCCTACCAGCTAAAAGAAAATAAAATAGTCACACTGACATGACGACATGTGACTCATGTTGAATCCAAAGCACCTTAGGAATCCTTTGGATCGAACTTCCGTCCAATACATCATCCCTTCACCATACTTGCTAAGCCTTCAGGGACAGAGTGAGTCCAATTTATAGTGAAGGAGTGTTAAAGATAAGTTTGTCCTATTGACCCCCAAAACATGTCTCTTGTTGTAATGGTGCAATAATCCTTGCCTTTGAAGATGGGATCGGCTTTCCGTGTAGCGAATCACTCCCTTGATCTTGGTCCTGAGCATTTGGCATTCTGAAAAGTTTGCATTTCCTAGTCCATGGAAACTGTAGCATAAATGAAGCAAACATCTCATGATACTTTAATGAACCTTTCAAAGCTGTTTAGATACTGTCAATCTACTACCCCATTTTCCACTGAGTAACTCAGAGAATCCCAACTTTTCCATGTCAGCCACGGTGAGCCACTCACCTTCAACCTCGCTGACTTCTTCAGAATTTTTTTCGGTAATGGCTTGGCACCGTTTGACCAGCCTCTCCTGCAGGGCAGAGCAAGAGAAGGGGGGAAGTCTAGTTCGGAACACTAAACTTAAAGATCAAAATTGGACCACCATGTCAGTGCCCAAAAGTGACATACAGTAGGTGAACATAACTTAATAGAACAGTACCGGCAGCCTTGGGTTCTGAAGTTCTTTGTGATATAATATGTACACTACTATCAGGGTAAAATATTCTATTGTTGTTTTGTTTTGCGGAAACACCAGTAGATAGAACATACACTGTGATTTTCAAGAAACCTGTCCCGATCATAGCCGACTTTCTCAAAGATTGCATACAGGGATTCACGGCCCCCACCATCAACATCGAGCCATGCTTTGTTCCATTCATCATCAAGAATGAAAGTTCCGTCTTTTCGTTTCTTGAAAACACGATGAAGTCGCATGTAGATGGCCCTTTCAGTCAACTCTTGTGGCGGGATTGATGCAGAAGCATACACCGAATCATCACCAGTGGCATCAGTAGTGTTCCAGTCTGGGTTAGGCTTCCTTTTGGAAGGTTTCGGTTCATGTTCAGGGCCAGCTGTGACCCCCAAAGCCTTGCTCGCATCCACTTTGTCACATTCTAACTGGGTGCTGTTCGTGTCTGGTTCTGGTACTGGCTCAGGTGCTTTCAGTTCTTGGGTGGGTGCAACATCAGAATCCTGATCAACTTGTCTTTCCATATCTGGTTGTGGGGTACCTGGCTGAGTCTCTGCCAAAGCCTCTGCACCTCCTCCACCCACTGGCTCCACTGCTGCAGGAGGAAGAGGCTTTGCCGGCGATCCTGCGCAAAGGACTGTGGCAACAAGGTGGTGTCCTTCAAAAAAAAATTGGGTATCATTTGTATACATCCATTTTGGTAAATCAAAAATACATCCAATTTTATTTTGAATAAGTAGATTCTCTTGGCAGGCTGTAGTCGGCAAAAGAATTTAGACAAGCCTGAACCACCCCCCTTTTACGACTCTGTCCTGGCTCGGCCTTTTGTTGTTGCAAAATCTTCTGTTCGAGTGCCTTGCCGTGCCATAGATGCGGCAAGGTGTATAAGATAAAGGGATGTCAGGGTGTAAGATTGTTCATCGGTTTGTATATCACATCTTTTGCAAGGAACATCCATGGTAGCACAAGGAACGTTTGGAAAGCTTACTTGAAGGTGTGGTTTCTCAAAGACCCAACATAGTAATTAAGTTTAGTACCTGAGCTCACTTCCCCAAAGTTTTATTTAGCACCATCCACAAACAATTGGCTGGTTGGGCCGGGGTGCTTCCAACCGAGCGAGTTCTTCAAGCATGGCCGCTGGGTCAGGGTCTGTCATATCTGTCAATGCTTTGGAGGAACCTTCCTGGAGAAGGTCAAGCCCTCTCACCAGCGTCTCGCTTGAAAACGCTTGACTGGCGAAGGACATGAGGAGTTGTTTCGTGGGGAACTTCAGCCAAGATCTTGCGAGTTAGAGTTGAGTGACATCTTTTGGGAGATGACACCAATCTGCCAGCCCCAACTTCAAGGTTATCCCAAATTGCCTTTAGGGAGATCCCAAACTTGTACGCAGGGTCATATATTAGAAGACATTTGTGGTTTACAGTGGCGCCCAGGAATCATTTGTGGAGGTACCCAGAAAACATTATAGGAGCGTTTGAGGGTTTTTCAGAATCTCCAAAAATCCAAAACAACATTTTCCAAAATTCCTATCACGGGTATTCTCGCCCGAATCACGCCTATTCTCGCCCGAATCACGCCTATTCTCGCCCGAGTTGAAACCAGCAAAATCAGCTAAAAATGGTTTAGGTGCTTTTTTTGACGGTTATGAAATTTCATTTTGAGGGGTTCTACCCACTGACAATGAACTCTTTTTTTTGGACCCCAAGCGATGGAACTTGATCGCATTTCAAGACAATTAATTTCGAATTTCATGTCACACCAGCTGGCTTCTGGTTGCTCAACTGGAAGTTTGGAAAAGGACAGCCCTATAGGCTTCTGGCAGCTTTAGCCGTTTGGATCCCCTAACATATTCGTAGATGCTCCATAGTTCCGCATCATCCCATGGGTCACCGGTTGGCATCTCAACCAGTAACTCGATGACACTTGGGCCGTCCGTAGTCACCTGAACGGGCTACAACCACTACAAAAAAAAAATGATTATAATAGATTTATGGTCGCTATTTGGGACATTGTTTGACATGGTACATGGCAAATACATATCAAGTACAGTAGAGGATTGGAAGAAGCACCTCCGGGAGCTCTGGCATGGCCTTGATAAACTCATCTTTCATCTCCAGGATCTTGCCGACAAATTTCGGAGGATATACCCTTAGATGACTCGATGTATCAAGAGTACCGAAATGTAATGTGTAAGCTCTGTACTGAATAAACCAGAGATGAAGAAACATGACACCATCAATTGCAAACTAGAAACTGGGTGTTTTTCAGCGTAGCACCAGCTCCCTTAGATCGTGTTTTCCCTGAACGATCTTTATACTTGATGGCCGTTTGCACCATAGATCTGTGTTGGCCTTTTCGAATGGGGCCCAAGTTCAAGTACCTAATGACTGGGGACGTGGACCATAGTAAAGTCCTCTTCAGGCAAAGGTGGCCGAAATGTTTCATCCACAGAGCCTGCCGGTACATACCTGAGGTTGCAATCAGAGCAAAGTGACCGCAGGAGGAAAGGATGGTGGGCTTGTGGGGACAGGATGGAATATACATAGAATGTAATATATAATATATTATATATAATAGTAATATATAATATATTATATATAATATTATTAGTTACAAGATTTATATATAATATTTTAAGTTCTTTGATGCGTGGGTAAAGCATACCTAAATCCTCCTACATGCCATGAGATTGAAGGGGGGAAAATGAAGGAAAATCCCCCCCATGAAACATCATGGTTTCTAAGATAATCATTTGTGGGCCCAGATACAACAACATGTGCGAATTCAACCAAAATACAGATCCCTCGTGCCCGGAGCATCTCAACCAATTGTTGAAATCTTCGTTGGGCATTCAGCAGCGTGGAATGGGGATTTTCCACTATGAAAACACCATCAGCTGCCACTATGAGCAGCAATAGCAGCACAGTCCTTCAGGGTTTTGGACAAACCTTTTTACCTAGCAAATAGGCTCTAGACTCTAAACAAATTCATGTAGTTATGAATGCCGAACCGATCACAAAAGTATTTCAGAAGCTTTGCCTGCATAGAGCCTTGTTGGCTTTGTAAACCGCAATGGAAATGGGACATCCTTGAGGAAGAAATGAAGAACGGAATGTGGAACCCCGTGAAATCGAAACAAATGTTGAACAGCACACACCCAGGAGAACCACGAAGTGCTCCCACTTGGAGCCCAGAACCATAGCGCAGGCCAACCTGGGTCGGGCGAGAAGTATGAGGGAGGTAGAACTGATTTCCAACCCCATAATTTCACAACTTAGATCAATGGTATGGTCACCAAATTAATTAGCATTCAAAGAATAAACATAAGGAGAGAAACAAGAATCCCGCTGAAGTATTCAAATCCATAGAGTTGTTCTTGCTTCTGTTGTCACCGATGGGATCAAAGTCTCTGTCCATGGAAGCTGTGGGGATACCAAGTCCCTTGGAAAGCTTTACAAGGCGCTGCTCACCAGCATAGATCTCTAAGATCTCAAAGGAGTTCTTGCCAGGGTCAATCACATCCATGAAGCCCAAAAGCAAGATGGTGACCACAAATACCTGAGGCCCAAATTTCATTGGTTCTATCTTGATCTAGTATTATTCTTATTTCATTGAATTGTTTCCAGATCTTTTGAATGAAAGCCCAGGTGCTTTCGGGGCCTGAAACCAAATCAATCGACGGATGATGTATTCCAGTTTCGGTGGCAGGGTCGGGTCCGGGACATCACCTTCAAGTTTCACCCTTTTTGGACCCTTAGTCTTCATCGCAGATCACTTAGATCTATCCAACAACCCTCCTGGAAGCCCAAACTTTGCAGTTGGTTGGATAATGTTGCAAAGAAATCGCCCATGTTCATGATGTACATGGGCTGCATGAGCATGTCCTACAGCCCAAGCCCCAAACCAGCCAGGTTTACTGCGTGCACAGTGATCATCCTCCTCAATGATCCCGTGCCTGATGTAGGGGCCCAAGCATCGAAGCTTGGAGCTCCGGACCATGGTACCTGGAGCAAAGAGATTGGGCCCAACAGATAGTCCAACAAATAATAAAAACTGGTGGTTCAGCGTTTTGTTGGGAAATGTTGGGAATCTGGTGAAGTCACAATTTTTCTCGCTTCACATCTCCCAGCAGGTTTGTGTCTAGCTGCTAGGTTCTTGTGACCACACTTCAGATAAAGACAAAGATTAGCGCTTGCTAACACGATGATGTGCCCCAGCAGTGGTGAAGTGACAGGTCTTCTCTTTATGAAAAAAATAATCCCTTGAAACAATGAAATTTGTTTTGCTATGTTAATCAGCTCAAGGTTTACACCATTTCTGACCTGCCCTATTCCAGAGAGCCAACGTGTTGACTAGGCAAGCCAACCCCGGAAATCTACGTCCATGTCATCATTGTGACGGTAGAGACTCATCTCATTTGGCCTTAGCTGACCAGTGCCCAACAAGTGAAATTCAACATACATTAAGGGAGGTTTGAATGATAAAAAACATCTATATCAACATCCAACGTGCCACCTACAAAACAAATCTCGTTTGTGACTAATGGTTGTGAAAGCACACTTAACACCAGGCGGATCCTCGAATGAGAGAACGCACGACTGAAAGAACTCGATGTAGTTGATCGTGTAAGCCTGTTTCGTCTCAATCTTCAGGGACTTCATGCAGTGATTCCACCATTCCACCTGCCAGAAGGCCAGAAGGATATATAATACTAGATATCAAAAAGACAGGGGACTACTGTTCTCTAAAGTCTTTCCATATCTACATGATACATGACATGTAATAATAAATGATTTGGAGTACATGAGGGCAAGGGAGAACCAAGAAACCAAACAAAAGTCAGGAATATCCCCAGGCCAGGCCTCCATCATGGAAGTAGACCAGAAGCGTCCAGTGAAATTGCTGTTGAAGGTCTCCTTGATGGAGTCAAAGCGAGCAACCGCATCTCCCCTGGTAGGTCGATACCGTCGGGCAAAGGTCTTCTTCCCCGCAGTATTTTCTCCATGGTCTGCTGCATCACTGCGAGCATCTGCATTCGCAGAAGCTGGCTCAGGAGGACCAGCCACCACAGGGGGAACAGGTTCAACTTCAGGCATGGCAACAGACTCTCCATTGTCTTCAGCATGGGGGATGTTTTCCTTCTCCACTTGATTCTCCACCTTCTTCTTCTTTGCTGCTTTTCCCCCTTCCGTCTTACCTTTGGGTTCTGCTTTGCTCTTGCTGTTCTTGGCCTTGGCGGCTTTCTCAGCTTTCTCAGCCTTCAATTTTTCGTCTTTCTCCTTCTTCTTGGCCATAGCTTTCGCTTTGGCATCTGCCTTCTTCTTCTGGGCCAGTTCTTTCTTTGCCTTAGCAGTCGCTTTCTTTGCAGCTGCCTTTGCAAGCTTCTGTTGCTTCTTCAATTCCTTGGCTGCAGCGAGCTTCTCCATCTTCGTCTCAGGCCTTCCTTCTTCTGGGTCATTAGCCTCTGAGGTTCCGATCTTTCTTTTCTTCTCGTTCTCCAAGTCATCCCGCTCCTGGTATTGGGATTTCCTTGTCACAACGGCCGTAGAATGAAAAAGATCATCAGGCACAGGTGACTTGTCTCCAGGGCCATCACCACAAACCAAAGGTTCATCACCTTCAGGGCACACATCAGCTCCTTGATCTTCTCCCACGGTAGCAGTGTCATCAACCACAGCAGCTTTGCTGCCAGAAGGCTGTGAGGGTCCAGGTTCAGAATCGGCATCACCCAAGACTCTTGTTGACGGAAGTCGCCCTGCAAACCTCTTAGGTGTAGACGAATCAATAGGGATCTCCAGTGGTGGGTTCTCCTTCCACTCCTTGGCAATGGGTGACATGTCAAGTTGGAGGGTTTCCTGCACATCGGTGACCACTTCTCGGGTCTGCATGGGACGGGCGACATTCTTGACGTTGTGGTGCTGCAGTCTTTGCCTGCAAGGCTCTTGGTTCGCGAGGCAACCCCCGATATTTTGGCTTTCAACATGTCGAGTACTTGTACGCTAAAACCACAGGTGCTAAACAAAAATGAAAACAATATGCAACAAAGTTCAGGTCAGTTACTTGATCATGTTGATCCTATCCCGCAAAACTGCCATGTCTTCTGGAGTATACGTCTTAGCAGAAGGCAGTGGGTCTTTCACTGTCGTGGTCACAGGAATTGCAGGTGGGACCTGGGGAGGTTCTGGCGTCATCTCAATCTCAGTCGGTGTGATGGAAGGGCTAGAAGGGACATCCACAGCTTCCTCCTGAACTTTCATGGGTGGATCCCTTTTGGGCAAGGCGACAAACTCAATGACGGGCTGACCCTGTGAGTCCTGAAGCTCCTCCACGAAAGAGCCTGGCAAAATCTGTGAGTCAGGAACAGCTTCAACCACAGGGGCAAGCGGTGGGACACCCAAACTCTCTGCCAAACAACTCTCCACGTAGTCATCGTTCAGGCATGGAGGTTCACCTTGATCACTCGCCGCCTCCAACTCTTCCATCTCTCCATCTTCTTCTTGGCCCCCTTTGCTCTTGACGTTGGCAGGTGCAGGTTCTTCTCCTTCAAGTGATTCCTCGCTCTTGCCCTTCTTCTTGGTAGGGACCCAGTACTTCCAAATGATGTCGTAGAGGCTCTTGATCATTGGATCCTCAAACCGTTTAAGAGGCTGAGGCACCGATAAATCCCCGTATGCAGCTTCGTATTGGGTCATTTCCCAATTCAAAAAATCAAGTGGTGGGCTGACTAGACAATTTCAGAGACCCCCTTTCCCCAACACTGTGTAGAACAGCACCAATGCCATCAAAAGTCCCGGCGGGCAGCCCCATTGTGACGTCGTCCCAGGTAGGTCACAAATCCCCGGATAGAGATCGCATCACAGTTCACCGCAACATCATCATCCACCCAACCAAGCTTAGACCGGAATGTCCTCACCTGAGGGACTGAATGTAAGAGGAAACTGGTGAGGTATGGAAAGGTTTTAATACCATAATCGCGACATGTATATATAATATTTTTTTTACTTGAACATGCAATAGATTATATTGGTGTTTTTCTAACTAAAAACATTTCAAGTTCAGTATCTTGTTTTTCCATCCCACCTCAGCACGGACATCTTCGATGTTGACCGTTTTGGCACAAGGTACTTGGGGGCACCAAAGTTCCAAAAGATGGGACAAAACCAGCACGTTCTGTTTCGCAGTGGTAAAGTTGATGACTCCAACATGTTTCGGGCTGGGCCATGCCAACAGGTTCTTTGAGATGACAGCTCTAGCCCTGATGGTATCATCCTTCTCCCACGTAACCCCGAGCCCTTCTAAGGTCACTCCTGGGATATCATTGTCGCCAAGCTCAGGCTCTTCAACGTCAGGGAGCCCGGGAACTGCTGCCATACCCAATGGGTTTGACTCTACCCTCTCAGACTGCTGATCAAGCCTAAATGGACTGATTGGACACATGTAGACAAGTTCAAGGAAACAGTTCTTAGTCATTCAGTTTTCTTCTTGATGATTGTGGCTGAAACAAAACGGATAAGAAGGGAATGAACTAGTTTGATCAGTTGGACAGTGGGGCACCGGTTCATCACCGCCACCATGTAGCCAAAAGGTCAGTGCCTGCGTGGGTGCCAGGGAATGATGGCACCAATGGACCATTTAAAAAAAAAGTGTGCAAATTATACCAACATCCCAGACTCAAGGCCCAGTTTTTTTCGCTCACCCCAAAGAGCTGCAAACTATTTCAGATTCACCCGCGCCCTAAGGCTCATCCATGAGAGTCCAGAACTCACTTGCCTGAACCGGAGGGGCACAAGACATGGGCACTAGGATGCTAAACAATGTTCTCAAAAATAGCATCTTAGTGTTGCAACATTTTTTTCACCAAAAAAACATTTTTGGATCAAGGTGCCAGGCTGAACTGCGTATTTTTTCACAACATTGGCAAGGTAAAAGGAAATACCAGCCATACGGTAGTTCTCAAGGATCACATTGGCCCGGTGGTCAGTCAAAATGACCTCAGTTTCCAAAACCATTTTGAAGGATAAATTGGGGAAGCAAATGAGAATCACGTGTGATGTGGAAAGTTTCACCTGGCGAGGATCCTCAGGGCTGGCGGCGAAAATGATCTTCTGCGTTGATGTCCACCAACGTTTGGGGAGGTCAAATAAGCCTCCCAAGAAGTACAAATGAAATCGGGTTGAAAATGTTGAAATGGAGGGGGCATCCACATGGTAAACTAAAGGAAACATCATAATAAACCGGCCTTCTGCCTTCAGCGCATCCCGGGTCTT